TCTTGGAGGACAGCGAATGTCTCTCCCGGTGCGCGTTGCAGTAGATGTTGTATGAAAACCACGTGGATGTCTTAAACGGCCACTACACGGCCCCCGCCTTGCAGAAATATGTTGTATGTCTACTCCATGTTGGCCGCCTGGTCCCAAAAAAATCACGGTTTTGGCCTAGTGGACTACAAATGCCTGCTGCGCCAGCCAAAAGATAGACGAAGTGCGCTGCTGGCGGATCGGAAAAGTTTGGTGCGCAGTGCAGCGCCTACAGGCCGGGGTGTATGGGTGTTTTAATGATGCCCTTACGTACTGAAATTGGGCCCCTTACATACTGAAATTTGCTTATTGACTGGAGATGGTGTTTAGAAGGATCGGCCCGACTGCTGTCGGTTTGGTATATTCATTTTACGATTTGAATGATTAATGTACTTCATTGTTGACTTGAGAGTTTTACTATTGTACTCGATCATTTTGTGAATGGACTAGTATGAACGTGAGAGGTAATTTTTCATTTGTGAAAAGGAGTAATAAAAAATAGTAATTATTTTTTAGTGTTACTTGAGAGGTATTTTACTCAGGTCATTGAATTGGTTGGGCTTAAAGAATTAGCCTTAAACAAATTAAGAAAAAAAAAGGTAAAAAAAAAATAAAAAAATAAAAAATAAAAAGATGAGTGAAGGGTGGAAAAAATAATAATATAAATTAGTGAAGGGTGTCTGACCGGTGATGCCGGTGATGGTGATCTTGCTGTGCTTCAGGTGACCGACAAAACATTGGCAGATGTGAAGGGTGGAACTCTCATTTCGTACGAGGGGAGGGTTCAGGTAAGGAGGAAAGAGATGTCAGGGATGGGATGGTTTGCCTTTTTCTTTCTTTCTCAGAAAGTTGAAGGATCAGTTAAAGTGGGTGGGTGATCAAGGAGAAACAGATGGGTGTGTCATTTGTTATGTGCATGTGTCAGTGGGCGGTTGTCTCGGTCTCGAGCCCCCTGATGAGGTTCGCCTCTGGCAGCGACCGAAACTAGGGGAATGCCAGTCGTTGCCGTCTGTGCGTTGTCACTCTTTTCAGTAGCAAGTACGGTGGGGGGAGCCATAGCTGGGGGAGCCATAGCTGGGGGAGCCATAGCTGGGGGAGCCATAGCTGGGGGAGCCGTAGCTGTGCTACGGGTGGACTCTTTGTGTGCTTGATTCCTCTATCTTCTAAGAGTTGTTCTCGAGAGTGGTTTTCCGCACATTGGTTGCTGTGCAACGCGCGGTTGTGTGCGAAGAGTAGTTTTTTTTGTCTCTCAGCTTTCACATCACATGTGTCATTTGCGTGATATCTGTTGATCTGTCTCTGTTTTGGACTCTCATGTATTTGCCTACAGTAATAAGAATATGTATTAAATTACTATAAATAATTTGATCTTAATAAATATTAAATACGAATATCCAGGGGAGAAAGGTAGTGAAAACAATTGGGGATGGCTCAGCTCACCTTCCTCAATGCCCTCTTTTTTCTTTTATCAAAATCTTAGGCAAACGGGGAACACAGTTAGTCACTGTTTCCGTTCCTGTTACCGTTCCTGTTGTTCCGTTACTGTTACTGTTACTGTTACCGTTGTTGTTACCGTTGCTGTTACTGTTACTGTTACTGTTACCGTTGCTGTTACCGTTGCTGTTACCGTTGCTGTTACTGTTACTGTGACTGTGACTGTTACTGTTACTGTTGTTACTGTGACTGTGACTGTTACTGTTACTGTTACTGGTACTGTTACTGTTACTGTTACTGTCACTGTTTCAGTTACTGCCCTCTGACCACCGTTACTCTTACTGTAACAATTAAAGAAAACAGCTGGACCTATTTGTGGAAGTGCATTTTGTCTTTGCTATGCTACACTTGCATGAATGTTCAATTTCTTGTCGGAAATAATTTTGATTGAAAAGTTGAAAACAATGAAAAGAGATTTGAGAATAGAAGTTACGAAAAATCTGAACAAGGAAATCCTAACTTCAGTTGGAGAAATTTTCAGTTGGAGAAATTTTCAGTCGGAGAAATTTTCAGTTGGAGAAGATTTTAGTTGGAGAAAATTTGTACAACTACACTTCCAAAAGTGAGAAATATGTTTCCTGCTTGAATAGCCACCAAAAGAGACAGGTCATTGAAATCAAAAGGTGACCGCTGTATGAACCGGGCTGGAGTGCCTGGCCTGGATCGCAGCAAGGGTTGCCTCCTTCCAAAAAAGAAGAGAGACAGGTCATGCCGTACATATACTACAATACACGTAGTATTCGGGAATTGGATATGAGAAGTTGTGTGAGCTCATTTGCATGAAGCATCGAGGTGTTAGGGGCTTTATTGCTTGGCCAGTGTGAAAACGAAATGGTGAAATATGAAAAAAAAAATGGTGAGTGCATTTTGCACAAGATCGTGGCAAGATGCATTGGCCGTTTGCACATTCATGCTGTGGGAAAATGATTTTCTGGGAATTGTTTGAGTTCAAGACTGCAGTTGCTGTCTCTGCAGATCTATTGTGGCTCTCTTTTTTTTTTTTTTTTTTCCCTGAACCCTGTGGTATGTTGCTTGCAGAGTGGATACGATCTGTTTCTGAAACTCTTTCTGCCCATTTCTGCCTGCCTAGAATGGCATGACTTATCTCCGTCCTCAGTTTTTTTTGTGTTGAATGGGATGACTTCTCTTCCTCAGGTTTTTTTGTGTCTTTCTCTCCGTGCCTGCCTAGAATGGGATGACTTTTTCCACATCCTCAGTTTTCCGTCGTGATGAGGAGAGCGCAAGGAGTTTGGGGTGCTGTTCTGTGTGGTTAATCTTGGTTATTGATTGGCTGTTTGACTGTACTTGTGTCCTTGGCTTTGTTCTCCCTTTGGTGGTGATTGTGTTGGGGGTGCTGTTTATATCTGTGTCAGCTCTTGGAGATTGCTCAGGTGCCAGATGATAAGGTAAGCTCTCTTTCTCTCTCTCTCTCTCTCTCTCTCTCTCTCCCCACACACACGGAGAGGAGTGGTTGTCTGTGTGTGTTTCTCTCTCTCTCTCTCTGTGCATAGAGAGGAGTGGTCTGTGTTTCTCTCTCTCTCTCTCTCTCTCTCTCTCTCTCTCTCTCTCTCTCTCTCTCTCTCTCTCTCTCTCTCTCTCTCTCTCTCTCTCTCTNTCTCTCTCTCTCTCTCTCTCTCTCTCTCTCTCTCTCTCTCTCTCTCTCTCTCTCTCTCTCTCTCTCTCTCTCTCTCTCTCTGCACCCGCTCTAACAATTAGGTTGTTGAATGCTGTCTGTCGTCCCCACCCCTTACCCTTTTTTTTGTGACTGCTCTGCCTGTCTCCCTTGCTCTCTGCCCCTCTCCCTCTCTCTCTCCCCCCCCCTCTCTCTTGAGCTCTCTGCTCTGCCTGTCTCCCTTGCTCCCTGCCCCTCTCCCTCTCTCTGGCCCTCCCTCTCTCTTTCTGCCCCCCTCTGTCTCTCTTGTCTCCTTATCTCTCTCTGTCTGCCTCTGTGTTAGCTCCCTTTTGTGATTGATGTCTTTTTACCAACCTGCATGCCTTGTTACTCGAGTACTTTGTGCAGAATGGTTCATTTGCCGGTTGCTGGGTTATTTTTGCCTTACAACCTGCCGGCATGTTTCCTTTTCGGTTCCTTTTTGTGTTCAATCCTTCATTCATTCCATGTACAGGTCGATGAGTTCAAGTCCATTAACAAGTTCAAGATTTTCAACACCAACAACCTGTGAGTATTTTACTATTTTTGGATTTGGTGGTCTGCCTGCTTTTCTTCTATCCCTTCGATATCGTTTGCCTCCCATTTGGTTTTGTTAGGAGCTCTGTTTGGTGAGAATTGCTGGAAATTCCGCCCTCTGAAGGTGGCTAAATACATTGGGTGACTTGTTCTGCATCCGCCCTCTGAAGGTGGCTAAATACATTGGGTACTTTATTATGTATTAAATGGATGATCATTGATCGGTTCAATTTTCTGCAGGAAGATGCACTTTTTTCTATTTTTGTTTTGTGTGCCACGCAGTGAGGCCCTATGACTACCATGAACTTCTCTGCCTTATTCTGGACACCACACTATCTATCTATATATATCTATATAGATATCGTCACAAATAGAACTGCCTACGGTAAACCGTAGGCAGAGAGAGGGAGGGAGAAGAGGACAACAAACGAGGGGCTGTGACAAACTGTTTCGTCGGAGTTTCTATTTATTTTTGGCCTTGTTGCTTGTGGTAACGTGCTTTGTTTAATTTTGTCGTCTCCCCGTTGATTCCCACTACTAGTTCACAAGGAAAATTAATAGCAAAGAAAATTGAAAATTTGTTACGTTAATGTACACCATACAATCGGGAGGAAGTCTCTCTACTCCCTAGTGTGGTATGTGAACCTTGTTTTTTTTTCTTTTTTTTCTTTTCAAGTAAGTTGCGGCTGTCATGACTTCTGGGAATGGAGGAGGGTGGATTGAGGTGGGAGGAGGCCTGGGGTATAATGGGGGAAAAGGGGACGGTTGGGCCGAAGGGGAGGAGGTCAGTGTCTATATGATATTTTTTTTAATGTGGTCTACTATTGTTTAGGATGTGGGTCTCTCTATGGCACTGTAGATTACTCTTTTTCCTGATGTTTGGAACTTGTATGGGTGTGTGAATACACATATAGGTGGGCGAATGCTGCCGAGATTAAGCGGCACGTTGAAGCTGATGACTTAAAGGTGGAGATCATCCCCAACCCCAAGGTGAGAAATTGCGCACAATGAATTCCCCCTCTTGTGCCACTAAGTCTCCCGGAGTTCTAGTGTTGAAATTGTTTTTTCTAGTGTGGAAATTGTTGAAATTGTTTGACTAAGGTGGAAATGGGAAATGTTCTGTCCTAGAAACTACAGTTTTCAATTTTGTACTCGTTCGTTTGCACTTGCTCGCTTGTCATTGATGCGGCTGGGGGCTCTTTGCAGTCTATGTCCTGCCCATAAGTAACTGATGAATAGCACATGAATAGTCGCTGCAGCATGGTATAGGTTTGTGCTTGGGGCGCAGGCCATCCTCCATGCGAGCACAGGTTTGAACCGGCGACCTCAGCCTCAAGAGCCGAGCATTGTAACCTATGACAGCCAGGACACGGTGTTCAGAAGCGGAACCATACCCATAGCGGTCGTGGTATCCACCCCAACCCTGCAAGGCTGTAGTGTCGAACTCGACACACACACCGCTCACAACTCCACGCGGTCGCAGACGCGGCAATATTTCTCGCACACTTGCTTGCTCCAATCAGCAGGTAGTGTATTATCTGTCGATTACTGAGTGATAGTACAGAGACAAGTGTAGGGAATCTAGTGATGTCCTTTCTGTGTGGCCTTATCGCTGTGGTAGTGGGCTTCACATCATTGATGGTGATCGTGTTCAAACTTCCAGTGTATTGGTGACATGTTTTGTAAAATAATTTGCAACATAATTTTTAGAATGATTTGTAGCATTTGCTGCTTCTTGTAAGGGATGATAATGAAGATGGTTAACGTTGATGAAGATGATGATGATGATGATGATGATGATGATGATGTGGATCGTTGGTCTTGACGAAAGACTCCTGATTATGTTGTTTCATCTTTTTGTGGATGTGTGTTCTCTCTCTGTGCTCGTTCACAGGAAGTTGATGGAATCAAGGTCTTGCAGCTTGAGGGAGCCGCGGGAGCTGCCATCAGGGTATGATGCTAAATCAATTCTTCGGTGTAATTAATGACCCCCTTTGTGTAATTAATGGGCCCCCATTGTGTAATTCATGGCCCCCTTGGTGTAGTTAATGGCCGCCTTGGTGTAATTAATTACCTTGTGGATTTGTAATTAATGTCTCTTGATGTAATTAATGGGCAGATGCTGTTCTTGTGCTCTTAATTTGCCAGAAGGTTCTTCTCAGGTTTAGAGAGGGAGGTTGTGAATGGAGACGGATGCGAGAGGATGCCATCAATCAAACATCTGGTGTCTTCAAACGTTTTATCGAGTCTGGATTACAGTGTGGCTGAGTGTGCTGAATGAATAGGTTTGTTTCTTTCGTGTGACAAGGAGGAAAAAATTTATGGATACCCATAATTTGTTAGGTCATGCTCACACTACCGTTTGTCACCCGAATAGAATGCGCGGTAATCATAGCTGTATTTGGAGCAACTTTCTGTCTAGATACAGCGATAATGACCGGGCTTTATTGAGGTGAATATGGTAGCACTTTCCTCGATGCATCTGACTGCAATGACGGTCAGTCTGACTGTGATGACATCCGGAGCACTGCCCACAACTCGTCAAAAAAAAAAGCACAACTATGCCATGGTGACTTTTTTGGTCCAATTCTGCACCTTCTTGACACGTGGTGTCCCTTTTGGCCTGCTTGTCGGTACACATCGTGTGTGTGTGTGTGTTGGGAGGGGGGGGGATGGGGGAGGGGGTGGACTATGCCTTGGTGACTTTTTGCTCATTCTGAACCTGTGCTTGACACGTGGCCTCCTTTTTTCCTACTTGTCTGTACACGTGTATGTGTGTGTGTGTATGTGTGTGTATGCGTGTGTGTGGGTGTGGGTGTGTGTGGGGTGTGCAGTTCTTTGACAACGCTATTGGAGTGAACGTGCCACGTTCGAGGTTCCTCCCTGTGAAGGCTTGCTCAGATTTGCTCTTGGTGCAGGTGAGGGACTGCTCTGGACTCTGTTAAGAATGTAGTTCAATATCTGGTGGTTTGTCTGGTCGTTTCTGATGTCTTTTTCAAGTTAATTTTTCTTTCTTTCAAAATTGGTTGCTCTTTCTGCCTGTGAAGCATTCTTTTCCAGTCTCTTTTCTAAGTTTTCTCCCTCTCACGGTGTCTGGATAAGCGGTGGTCATAAGAGGGACAGGTAGGAAAGGGAAAGGAAGATCACTCTTGTCTCTGCCTTTTCCGTTTTCTACCTCTCTCCCTCCGACGATCTTTGCTATTATTAATGGTTAAGTGTTTGAGGGGAGTGTTGACTGTTGCTTTGGTGTTTGTGGATCCTTTACTATTGGAAGGAAAAAGAAAAGGCATCGTCTTGCATCAATTCATGTGCTGGGCACACTGGTCACCCCCCTTATGTTCTGGTGGGGTTTGTCGTTGCTCCTCCCTTCTCGACTCAACTATGACCTTCTGTCGAACTTCGCTTTGCTGGAGCTTTATCTTGGCGCCATCTTCCTTGTCTTTTCTTGCTCTTTCCTTCATCTTTCCTTGAGGTTTCCTCAATCTTTCCTTTGAACCTTGAGCTTTCCTTTGGGAACCTTGAGCTTGCCTCGTGCTTTAATTGAGCTCTTCTTTGAGCGTTTCTTTGAGCTGTCGTTGAGCATTCTTTGGAGTTTCCTTCATTTGAGCCTTCTTTGAGGTTTCTTTGAGGTTTCTTTGAGGTTTCCTTTCTTTGAGCCTTCTTCGAGGTTTCCTTCCTTGCTTTCTTTGAGCTTTCCTCGAGCATTCTTTGAGCTTTTCTTTGAGCTTTTGAGCTTTTGAGCTTCTTTGAGCTTTCGTTGGACTTTATGTCCGCTCACTCTGTCTTGTGGAGGATGTAGGGTTGGTGGTATTATGGGATCTATGGCATCATTGCCAGGAGACGCTTACGATTTCTGTGGGCGATACGGGGTCAGGAGGACTGTGGACGATACGGGGTCATGAGGACTGTGGACGATACGGGGTTACGAGGACTGTGGGCAGCAGCAGTGGGAATCATGTGATGATGGCCAAGAAGAAAAGGGGACGCCAGCGGCCGTGGGGCGATGCCTGACCGGAAATGTGACCTGACCTGCGCTTGGCCAAGAAGAGGTGTATTGGTTGTAATTAATTTGGCAAAAAATTGGCTGCGTGATTGCATCATGAACTCTAATCCTGCCTAGTGTGTGGATGTGTCCCGAAGTGCTTCCGGGTTCTTGGCTGTGGGTTGTGCACGCGATTCGTAAGTGAATGAGTACAGAGCGTATTACTGACACATGTCTTTGTGTCTCTTCTCATGTGGAAGGTGAGTTGTCTGAATTTGCGGCTGTGCAGAATAAATCCTATCTGGTTTGAATTTGCGGCTGTATAGCACAAAGTAGTGAGTCAAGCATAACTGGAATGCACAATTCAATGCCAAGAGTAGAGTAAAAGAAGTTAGGAAGGCAGCGGCAGGGTGCGAGAGGGAGAGGGTCATATCGACCCCTCTAGCAGGCTGATACTGGTATGGTTTATGTATATATAAAAGAAAGAAATATCGGTGATGATGGGGATGGATTTTGCCAGACTCGTCTCTTCTCATTCGTATGAGGTGAAATATATATATATAATTTTTATATATATTACATCCTATTATATTGTCCGCTGTGCGCCGGATTCTGGTTGAAGTTTTGGTGAGGGCCGGCGGATGAAGGCGATGAAGGGCGGGGGAATGTGCAGAGGGCTGTGCGTACTGAAATGTTCTCAGCACGCCATTAAACAAGAGAGCGCGCCCCCGGGGCGGGGCACGGCGGGCGTTGATGCGAATGAAGCACTGAATGGTGTGAATGCAGTGTTTTCCTCCACAGCATGTTGTGCATAGAACCACTAGTCTTGCTGATGTCCTGGACGGCAGGGGAATGGGTGGTGTACATAGTGGGGAGAATGTCTGTACAAGTTTGATGCCATGCTTATCAGTGAACTGACTTGAGGGTCTCTGTGTGGGTGTGTGTGTGCTTGGTGTGTGTGTGTGTGTGTGTGTGTGGTGTATTTCTTTTGTTTTCCTTTTCCTCTCTTGGCTGACATGTTTGTCTGCAGTCCGACCTCTACACTCTTGAGGATGGGACTCTCATCAGGAATCCGGCAAGGGAAGAGCCTTCACTGCCTGGAGCAGAACTAGGCCCGGAGTTCAAGAAGGTAAGCCCTATGCGTTGGCTGTGTTGTGTCGCTCCGAATGTTGCATCCCCAAGAAGGGAACAGTTCTCATTGCCATCGATTGAACTCAGCCCTGAGTTTAAAAAGGTGAGAGCTCAACGATCGATCAACCATGTGGTCGTCCATCCATCCATCCGTCCATCCATCCATCCATCCATCCATCCATATCATCTCTTCAGCCATCCGGCCTTCTACTTATAGATGGGTTGGTTGGTGTAGTCCATCCACCTGCGAATATAGCTAATTTGAGTAGTAGAACTGGGAAGTAAGACTCCAAGTGAGTCCCTACTCCCATCACACACAGGTGCGGTTCTCTCTCTCTCTCTCTCTCTCTCTCTCTCTCTCTCTCTCTCTCTCTCTCTCTCTCTCTCTCTCTCTCTCTCTCTGGTGCTGATGTGAAAAAAAAAAACAGGCCAATTGTATGTGTGTGTGTGTGTGTGTGTGTGTGTGTGTGTGTGTGTGTGTGTGTGTGTGTTAGTGAATGTTTGTGTGTTGTGTGTGTGTGTGTGTGTTTCTGTGCGAGTGAGAAACTGTGTGATTGTGTGTCTGTGGGTGACTGTGTGCTAGTTTTACTGTTTAGGCTGAGTGCTATGTGCTCACTGGGGAGATGCTATATGGGCTGGGTGGTACTATGTGGGCAGCGAGATGCGGAGTCTCTTCCATAGGCGCACACTGATCAGTGGATGTGAAAATCTGACCCGGTTCAATGTGTGTGTGTGGGTGGGTGGGTGGTGTGTGTGTGTGTGTGTGTGGGTGGGTGTGCGTGTGGGTGTGGGCGTGTTTGTGTCTGTGCGAGTAAGGAACTGGGTGATTGCATGGAGGGTATGTGTGGGTGAGTGTGTGCTGGGTGTCACTGTTTAGGCTGGGTACTATGTGTGCTTGGCTGAGTGCTATGTGCACACAGGGGAGATGCTATATGTGCTGGGTGGTACTATGTGGGCAGCATGATACCATGTGGCATATTGGCCACGCGGTAGGATGCATAAAACTGTTGGATGCGTAGTGCTATGCGGGCCGTGGTGGTGCCAACAAGAGAAGAAAAGCAAGAACGTGAACGTCCGCACTTGCCTGTGCGACCTGGGGGTGTCCTGTGTCCTGGTCTCGGGTGGTTTGGCCTGCTTTGTGTTGGGGACCCGATTTCATTTCGGGTTGTTGCGTTGCAGTCATGCTTTGTTCAAGACCGGCTTTGCGTCCGGTCGGTTGGTGTTTTTTTTTTATATTTGCACGGTTGTGTCTTATGAACTTTGTGTTTCGGCGATTACGACCTTCTAGGTAGTCGGGTGGTTATGCCCTAGACTTGCTTTGTATGCACATCGTTGAGGAACTTGAGATCATCGAGAAAAGAAAAAACACCCTTTAGCATGAGCGGAAAACAGGTCTACAAGAAGGGGGGAAAAAAAAAAAAAGAACCACACAAGGCGCCTGGGTGGGGTGGTACTATGGATCTCGGCACACCACTTGCGGAATGTGCAAAATGGAGCATTCATCTTCCACAAAAACATGTAAAGATACATGACGTAGGTTTTGTCTTTTTCACATTCTGTGAGTGGTGTGGCGATACCCTCTGTGAGCTACGTGGCTGTATATGTGAGCTACGTGGCACTATGAGGCCCAGATCTTATACAGGGGACGTAGGTTTGTCTTCTTCAGCTGCTGTGAGTTGTGTGGCGATACCCTATGTGAGCTACGTAGTAGTATATGTGAGCTACGTGGCTCGAAGAGGCCCAGATCTTATACAGGGAAGTAATCAAACCAAACCCTTAAAAAAAACACAGACCCTAAGTGAACAGACAAACTCTACCTACTATCGATTTTTAAACCAATTGGTGTAGTATTTGTTCTGATTGATTACAAAACTGATCCGTTGTCCATCGGGCCATGTAAAAAAAAAATGCAATCTGCAATCCCTGGTTGCGCGTCAATATTTCCAGAAAGGGGGAAGAAAAAGAGGGGGAAAAAAAAAAGACAGGACATAGAGGCCCTCAAACACACGTGCCCCTGCTGTTGTCGATCACCATGACAAGGGGCCTCACTCCACTGCTCTCCAGAGTCTCCACAAATGCAGAAAAGACAAAATATGGCAATGCATCTTCCCATGTTGTAGCGGAGGATTCATTTTCATTTTGCACATTCGAGAGTAGTGGAGGGCCAATGTACAACAACACGTCCATTCATTGACGGCATTAGGCAACAACGTCCATTCATGGAGAGCATAGTTGCAAGCGGACGCCGTCCGGGCGGTTCCGCACGTGTGGCAGACTGCCGGACCGGACCCGTTCGACGACCAGTTATGCCCCACCCCCAAAAAACAAACAAAAAAATGCCCCCGTCCCGTCTGGTCTGGGTCCGTCCGGTCTGGTCCGGGTCCATCCGGTCTGGGGGGAGGGTGCCGCACGCAGCAAAACGGACCGGACCGGACGCTCGTCTGGTCCGTCTGCTCGCAAGTATGATTGAGAGCACTCGGTGATGATGAAGGTGGAGTCGTAAGAACGATAGCAAGCACAAGCATCCTGTAACAACGGCGGTGTAAGGAAAGGGGAGATGAACTTGGCAATTCCCTGGCGGCTGCTCTCATTTACTTTGAGAAAGTGAAAACATGGTTCATTGTGCGTCCATCGATGTGTCCGTCGACGTTTATTAACTTTTCAAATGGCGGTGCATATAGAGGAGATGAACTCTGCAATGCCCCGGCGGCTGGTGTCATTTACTTCGAGAAAGTGCTAACATGTTTCATTAATGTCGGTTCGTAAAGAGGAGATGAACTCTGCAATGCCCCGGCGGCTGCTCTCATTTACTTTTGAGAAAGTGAAAACGTGGTTCGCTGTGTGTCCATTGATGTGTCCGTCGACATTTTTTAAGCTTTTCAAATGTGTATAAAGAGGAGATGAACTCTGCAACGCCCCGGCGGCTGGTGTCATTTACTTTGAGAAAGTGGAAACATGTTTCATTAATGTCGGTACATTGATTAGCTTTTATGGGAGTTCTGATGCCTACCTACATCATTTGCCGCTGTGTTCCAGGTTGCGGATTTTTTGAAGCGGTTTAAGTCGATTCCAAGCATTGTCGATTTGCAGAGTCTGAAGGTTGTTGGGAATGCATTCTTCGGAGAAAACGTGGTCCTCAAGGTTTGTGAGCGAGGCTGTATCATCATCGTTGCACAACTTGCAGTCTTGCACCCTTTTTTTAATATTTATTATTGTTAATTTATTATTATTATTATTTTTTTACTTGCACCCAGATGTACTGTTTTTGTCTTTTCAAATTCTTCCATCTGGTATGCGTCTAGTATCAGTCTATTACTCTTTTTTTTTTTTTTTTTTTTNTTTTTTTTTTTTTTTTTTTTTTTGGGACTTTTACTTTGTGTCATCCTTGCTCAGGGGCCATGCTAATCTTCTCTGTATCGTTCAAATTTTAGTTGTAACTGATGTCCAGAAAGGACCTGTTAAAATTGGAACCAGATACAGAGAAAGAGAAGATTAGCATGTATGTTAACTTTCGACACAATCGTGGCAATCGCATGACAGACTCGAATGACGACCCGGAGGAGAAAGGAGGGAAAAAAACAGACAGACAAGAAGAAGACGAACAAGACGACGACTCATGTCTCCCATTGGAGCTAATGTTATTAGAATGCCATTTTGGAAAACGAAGCCACACATTGATACGTCGGTTACTCCGTGAGTGAAAGTATGTTAACTTTCGACACAAACAGAAAACATTAGCATGGCCCTTACGCAAGGATGATGGTTGCAAAAAAAAACGAAAAACAAAAACAAAGAACAGTTTTTCTAAGATCACTCCCTAAAACACCTTTCACATTCTCATCACTCTTATTTTTTCCCAACGGGGTCCGCAACTGACCATTCTTTCTCATTTCCCATAGAGAAGGACTAAGTAGTAAAAAGCCGATAGAAATATCCTTGGAAGAGATTCTTTTGAATAGTGTCCACATACAACCTTCTTCACCTGAATACAAGTCTTTATAGCTGTATTTGGGGTATCGTTCAGTCTAAATACAGCTCTAAGGACCATACGTTGTGTCGGGGTGAAGAAGGTAGTTTTTTTCCCCTTTTGTCATGAACATGAACTTCTCGGATGTTGAGCATAGGCATCTTGTTCTCAGGGCATTGCACTAGCGCACTTCGGCATCTTGTTCTCAGGGCATTGAAGTAGCCTCAGGGCACTTTCCTGAATGTATCTTTGTAATTACGGCCAGACCTGCAATCCTGTCTTGAGTAGTAGAAGAAGGCCCTGTGAGTATGCTATGAGACATTTTGTCTTTTGACTTTTTTGGAATATGAGGTTTTCAGTTTTGCTTGGTTTTTAGTTATGTCGTTCTTGGGCTCATCATGGATGCATGATCGAACGGCCAGAGCTGGATGAATCTGACTGCAATCACGTCTTGAGTCCTACAAGAAGTCCCTCGTGCGAGTATGCTATGAGACATTTTGTCTTTTGACTTTTTTGGAATATGAGGTTTTCAGTTTTGCTTGTTTTTTAGTTGTCTTTCTTGGGGTCATCATGGATGCATGATAATACAGTGTGATTTCATTGCTGAAGGAGGGACGTGTCCATCGATGGACTGGAATCAACCAGGTGATAAGGATGTTTCTGAGGAGGAAAAAGAAAAGAAAAAGAAAAAGAAAAAGAAAAAAGAACTCATGCCGGTGCTTCTGAGAACTGATGCTCGTTGCTTTGCTCCTTCGTCTCTTTCAGTCTTATTCATTAGACGCTAAGACACCTTTGCTCTGTCTTTGTCTTATTTTATGTTATTTATCCGACACAAAGACACCTTTGCGTTTAAGTCTTTTAATTAGACTCTAGGACACCCAAGAAAGATGACAATTAATTGAAGGGGACAGTTTCCACTAGCATGGGCTCAAATAAACCCTTCAATTGCCAAAGAAAGAAAAGCCTGATTGGACTGCATGTGGTCTTTCAAATTGTGAGTGTTGTTTTATGCCTGCCTGTATTTCGTCTTCAGGTGATAACACAGAGACTCATGTGCTCCTCTAACTTCGTTTGCTTAATCTGAACTGTTGCTCGACACATGGTGTCCCTTTTGGCCTACTTGTTGCCACACATGGTGTGTGTGTGTGTGTATTCTGTGTGCGTGTGTGTCTCTATATTGTGTGTGGACTAGTGTGTGTGCGTGTGTGTGTGCTTGTGTGTGTGCGTGTGTGTGTGCTTGTGTGTGCTTGTGTGTGTGTGTGTGTGTGTGCTTGTGTGTGTGTGTGTGTGTGTGTGTGTGTGTGTGTGTGTGTGTGTACTTGTGTGCTTGTGTGTGTGTGTGTGTGTGTGCGTGTGTGTGTGTGTGTGTGTGTGCACGCCCAGGGAAAAGTTGTAATCCAGGCAGAGAAGGGAGAAACACTCATCATTCCTGATGGTGAAGTCATTGAAAACAAGGTAGGTAATGGGGGCGAAAAAAAAAAAGAAAAAAAGAAGAGATAATTGAGTGAATAATGGAAGGGTTGTCATTTGCGTTGGTCGGAATGTAGGATCAGACATTGATGATGTCCTCTTTATTTGGGATGGGGTTGGGGTGAATCCGTGGGGGGTTTGGGGGGGGGGGGTAATGTCTGGCTAAAGTTGACTGAGGCTCTGCAAACAATGCTTGCCACCTTGTTCTGGGTCCCAGATTGGGTTCCTGTTCCTGGAACACATCTGGTCCTATTATGTGTTCCAGGTTCTCTGTGGAAGAGATTTTCAACCTGGAACTCACACTTCAGAAATCCGGTTGTTGACGCCTGGCCAAGGTTCCGGACTTAGCTTTGGGGAATTATGTAGGGGAGAGAGAGAGATGGAGATCATGGAGAGAAGAGGGGTGAAAAACAGATCGAGGGAAGCTGGTGTGAACCATCTGAACCTTCTGGGCCCAAGAGTATAGTATACAACAGGATAGATGAACCGGATTCAGGATGTAAGGGAGAGGGAGGTATATGGTTGAAGAAGCATTTGGAATATACGTAAGGACTGAAAAGCTGGGCGACTTCGAAAAGAAAACATAGATAAGTTTTTTGAAATCGGAACTCAAAATCAAAATTTTCAAAATTATCTGACGTGAAGCTGTTTCATATTCACCATGAGCTGTATTGATTGTAATACCTTGTGCTCTTTCTCTTTTATTATTCCCATGTGCCTATTACAGTAGAGCAAATTTATCCGGTATGCGAAGCACAAGTTGGTTGGAGGGGGCAGCGGG